CAGGACCAAACAAGGCCTGATACGCATCAGCACGGGAAGGAATCGAGCGAGTGCGGTTGGGGCGCGAACGGCGGTGAGAACCCCTAGAGAGAGAGGGGTCAAAAGGCGCAGTAGTCACAACGAAAGACTTAGCCACACCAGGGGACGAAGTGGTCACCACCGGGGGCTGGAGGCTCGACCCAACCTCAGAGGAGGGAGGGGAGCTGGGGGAAGAAGTCAGGACGGTCAAAGGAGGAGCAAGGTCGGGGCCCAACGCAGCGGGAGTTACAGAGCCTGGTCTTCCAATACAGGCCGACTCGGGGGCTTGGTCGCCCACCCCACGAGCCCGAGAGGGTACAACGGAAACATTCAACGACATAGAGACGAAAAGTGACAAATTCATCCACGAATGTGCCCCCATACCCACCATGGAGCCACAATTAGAGGCAGGACACCCAACAGGAAGCTATCGCTGATCATGCCGGGGCCCCCTAGGGGTGCGTCGTGAATATACGCCCCACAAACGCCACCTTAAGAACCGTCAGTCCGTCGAGATCGGGTTCAGCGACGAAAGGGGGATTGACAATAAAAGGTTCCCCTCGCTCGAGACGTCGGGTACTACAGTTCTACGGGTGCAAGAGTATGCCTCCTCAAGCACCCGGGCGTCAAAATAGAAGAAGTCCAAAGAAAGAATCCAAAACAAGCAAAAGGTCGGCAGGAAACGACAAGCAGATAGGAGAAGAGGGGGGAGAAAAACGAAACATAAGGAAAAGGAAAAGCGATCCGGCACAATTGGAGAAGACAGCAGCAGGAGTGCAAGGCCAGAAAAGGGCAGAGGACTGCCCAACGGAGCATCACACTCCGGCAGCCGTCCACCAAGCCCCCTCACGACGCCAACGGGCCGGAAGGGGAGGGGGGTTTTCAAAAAGTATGGTGTGCAGAAAAACCAAATGTGTGTGAAGTGGAGGGTTAACAATAAGGCATGGGTGACTAGGATTTTTTTTACGGAGTGGGTGAATGATGTGGTGTGCCCTGCCATACAAAAATATCTGCAGGAAAAAAGTTTGCCACTCAAGGCCCTGCTTCTCCTCGACTATGCTCCTGCTTATCCTCCAGGCTTGGAAGATGCATTGTTGAACAGATTTAATTTTCTCACAATAAAGTTCCTTCCTCCTAACACCACTCCTCTAATTCAGCCTATGGACCAGAAAATCACAGCAAATTTTAAGAAACTTTATGAAAGAGCACTTTTCTGGAAATGTTTTGAAGTGACCGAAGCCACAAACCTTATCCTCAAAGAGTTCTAGAAGCACCGTTTTAACATTTGTAGTGCTTTAAAACTTGTTGACAAAGCCTGGCAAGAAGTGACTCAAAGAACCCTGATCTATGGCTGGAGAAAATTGTGGCCTGAATGTGTGACAGAACTAGACTTTGAGGGGTTTGAGCCTGAAAATGAAGTGCCTATTGTTAAGGAAATTGTTACTCTGGGCCAGAAAATGGGCTTGGAATAGGATGGTGCTGGTGTGGAGGAGTTGGAGGAAGAACACACTGAAGAACTGACCACCGAAGAACTCCAAGCCCTTGAAAAGGAGCAGCAACAAGAGGCAGCTGAGGATATTTCTTCAGAGGATGAGGCAGAAGAGAATATCCCTTCTTCAACAATTAGGAAGTGGTGTCAGATGTGGAAAAAAATGCAAACTTTGATTGAAAAGACTCACCCAGAGAAAGCTGTAGTGGGCTGTTACATTAATCTTTTCAATGACAATGTGATGCCTCACTACAGACAAATGTTGCGAAGAAGGGAAAAACAATCTTCATTGGATCATTTCGTTGTGAGAAAATCAAGCAGCGAGTCACAACCAGACCTAGTGGTATGCAGGCAAAACATGCCAGAGAGTACACTCCAGAAAAATCTTCACTGCCTGATGTTATCATGGAAGGGGACTTCCCTTCCAAACAGTAACACCTCTCCTCCTTCCCCTCCTCACCATCTTCCATATGCCAACAGGAGTCATCAGCAAGGGTAAGTAATAACTTGAACATACTTTTGTAGTGTAGATTTGGATGAATTAGGCATAAAATTTACTTTGAAATGAAGTTTTTGTGGAGTCAGGAACGTATTAATTCATTTCCCATTATTTCTTATGGAGAAATTCGCTTTGGTTTATGAATTTTCAGGTTACGAACTGTCTCCAGGAATGGATTAAATTTTTAAACCGAGGTACCCCTGTAATTACTTTCATGTTCAAATACCCAAAAATAAAAAAAACATTTAAATTCGTTACAAAGAATTAAAACGTGACTGTCACTAGGTGGGAGGCACTGGTAAACTGAGGGGCAGTCTCTGTGCCACCACGCACTAGGCTGGCCATATGCGTATCAACAAACTACGTTACCCTAGGGAAAGTTCAAAACCAGATTCGGATTTTACGAAGAAATTTGGCTCGTAACCCACAACATTGTAACTTACGAATGCCCCCTCGTTAAGAGGGGCATTCATAGGCCGAGGTGTCACTGAACTTGCGTTAATTAAGTAAAGTGAACCATGTGCTTGGGCGGTTTACATGTTCAGTTCCTGTCCGCCGAGCTCCTTCCCGTATGACACCAAGTCTGAGTGTTGTTAATCTGGCAAACTCTCATTGCCAGTTACATGTACCATATGCTTTTATAATTTTTGTTTGACCTTCTTCGATGGCTCTAAATTAATTTTGAATTTCTTCAATTTGTTTTACTGAAGTTCTTTCTTTAAGTGTTTATTTTCCTTACTGTAAGCCACAAAACAGGGCAAATTCCCATTAACCCTTAAATTGCGCATCGCATCATATGATGCTTTGACTGACTTGCAGTAAATTGTGCATCGCATCATATGATGCTTTGACCGACTTGCAGTAAATTGCGCATCGCATCATATGATGCTTTGACCGACTTGCAGTAAATTGCGCATCGCATCATATGATGCTTTGGAGTACTACGCAAGATTTAAACGGCCTGCGGATACACAGGGTTCACCACACCATCACGGCTCTTGTAAACAGAATTCATTTAAAAAAAAAATCGTGGGCCAAATTTCCGGGTGTTAGGGGCCTCAGTATTGAGTGAGCTACTAAGCCTGACGCACACAGCATGAGCTCACAGCATCGCCTAAAAATGCCATAATATACTTGTTCATGCTATTATGTAGCGATGATGATATTACAGAAAACCCCTGACTGTGATAAAACTGACCAGGGTTTTGATAATAGCAGGATTGTGGTGATATTTAGCGCTGTGCTCCATGGAGGGAGGAGTAATGCTGTGGGAGGGAGGGTGGTGGCATTGTTTTCTGACTGTGTGGCCACCTTTTATTGACTGCACTCACCATACCAGCTTAGTGGTTCGCTATGTTGAACACAAATGTAGATACTTATATATAACGTGTGTATAGCGGGTATAAACAGCAATAGGAGTAGGTTGGAAGCCGCCATTTTGGTGAGGGAGGTTGTGTTGTCTGCACGACTTATGTTGTTTACTGGCGACCACTATGGTCTTTGGGCACCATACCAGTTTACTTGTACAAGTATGGTGAATAAAACAGGTAGATACTTATATGTAATGTGTGTATATAGCACACCAGCTGTGTGAGTAGCTATGTCTTTGTGCCTTTACTAACCATACAAGCTTAGATGTACAGTTATGGTGAACAAAACATGTAAATACTAATATATAACGTCTGTATATAAAAGCAAAAACAGTATGGTGAGAGGAGAATGGTGGCAAGTGAGGTGAGGTGAGGTAAGGGAGGGAGGGAGGGAGGGAGGGAGTGGCAGTCAGTGGCGAGCTGCCACTGGCTGCCATTGCCACTGCCACTCAGCATACCAACTTAGTGGTTCGTTATGGTGAACACGAATGTAGATACAGTACTTATATATAGTGTCTGTATATAGTGAATAAAAGCAAAAACAGTATTGTGGGAGGAGAATGTGGGTGAGTCAGGTGACTTGAGGGAGGGAGGGAGGAAGTAGCAGCCAGTGGCGGGTGCCACTGTCACTGCCACTCAGCATGCCAACTTATTGGTTCGTTATGGTGAACACGAATGTAGATACTTATATATATTGTCTGTATATAGTGAATAAAAGCAAAAACAGTATGGTGGGAGGAGAATGTGGGCGAGTGAGGTGTTGAGGGAGTGAGTAGCTGGCTGGTGTGTGGCGGTCACTCCTCGTTCCTTTTTGACTCATAATAGCAACTTAGTGGTTCGTTATGGTGAACAAAACATGCAGATACTTATATATAACCTGTGTATATAGTGTAATAACCGACAAAGTATTTGTTCACTGTTTGATGAACATAATTGAATCAACAATATGCACACCACATTTTTGAGTACAGCAATGATTCACTCATTTTATTATATATCACACTACACACCATTGAATAATATTACAGCAAAAAAAACTATGAAAAATCAATCAGACATTGAAATAATTAGGTAATTATCTCTTTGTGGCAACTCTGGCCTGACAGCCGGCGAGCAACAGACCGCCTGGGACGCACGCTGAGTCAGCACCTGTTTTTTTGCCAGACTTCCCCGCCCTATAGCAGGCAATATATGCCACTTATGATTTTTTTATTATTCTTCCATGATCAGTGAACACAAATTAATAGGTTTAGAAGAATTTTTTTTTTTTTTTTTTTTTGGTACAGTATGCGCCTGTGAGTGACACGCTAAATAGCCAGGTGCCATACAAGGGTAAAAGGTAAACATTTATAAAATTTTAGTAAATAAAATAAATAATAATGAATAGCCACTGTGGACCACTAAATCTGCAGTTAAGTAAATTTTTTCATTAGTGCATTTGGTAACGTTTGACAATTTTACTCATGTATCATTTCCTGGTGCAAGCACAGCAAGGGAGCCGGTCGGCCGAGCGGACAGCACGCTGGACTTGTGATCCTGTGGTCCTGGGTTCGATCCCAGGCGCCGGCGAGAAACAATGGGCAGAGTTTCTTTCACCCTATGCCCCTGTTACCTAGCAGTAAAATAGGTACCTGGGTGTCAGTCAGCTGTCACGGGCTGCTTCCTGGGGGTGGAGGCCTGGTCGAGGACCGGGCCGCAGGGACACTAAAGCCCCGAAATCATCTCAAGATAACCTCAAGATAACCTCCTTTCTTTATAATTGTCACTTTTTCCTTTGTTCTGAATCACAATGATTATCCAAAAACACCCAAATAAAATATTAATTTATATAACTGATTTCTTCTTTAACCAGCAAAAATGTGAAAATATAATGTGGTCCTTGTACTGAAAAGTTTGGAGACCCCTGGTATAGATGAAATACGAGAGATCCCTCCATTTCTATTAATAATAGGTGTTAAATATTTATCACAATGTGAAAATTAACCTTTTCTGTTCTCATTCCATTTATACAATACTTTGCTTTGTATCAACCGTACTATATCACACTGTATTTTGGTATTTACAAGCACTCTATAAATATCAAATACCAAAAAACCAGCACTGAATGTAATGAAATGCCATTTTCTGGGTGAGCCCCAGAGGCTCCCTGGAGCTATCAGGCTAATATGCAATTCATTAGACCAAGCCATTAGTCGTAGGCATTCAGCCTACCGAGCCAGAACCTGGCCCCCCCCCCTCCTCAAGAGAGGCACAGGGAGCAATGGCCATGGAAAACCCCCCCTGTAGTTGGGGTTTTTCCTTTGGTTTTCCATCCGTCCCAAGGAAACAAGCAAACGTCACTCCCCCCTCTCCGTGACCCAGCCATTCCAGTTCGGAGTCAAGTATCAAAACAACGTGAAAACTACCGACTGGAGGGAGGGAGGGTGCCAGGGAGCCTCCAGGGCTCACCCAGACAATGGCATTTCATTACATTCAACACTGGTTTTCTGTGGTGAGCTTCACAGAAACTTCACAGTGGGGAGCTTTCCTTCAGGGTAAGGACCAAGGAGCACGGATGGAACCAAAGTCAAAGTGATGAAAGCCCCCAAGTCCGGGTCCCTATAATCAAAATGGGGCAGCCTTGGGGCATCCAGGTGGGCAATCAACTTAGGACGTTGCAGCAACCTAAACCTAGCATGAAACGCAGATGCCACCTGTACCCTAATATCAATGTCATCAGAATGGGTAAATTGGAGAACAAGCAAGAAGTGCGACTCGCAGGACTCTGGGTCAAAGGTGTCGGTGACCCAACAGCCAGCAAGATAGAGGAAAAAGCAGTGACTGTCATCCTGAGACAATGGCACACAGCAACCTTCAAACTCGCACGCAGACGAACTGTAATGGCCGGGTTGCAGACGCCTGTGGCTTCCCCTCCCGGGGTGGAGGGAGGGGCCTGTTTGGACGAGTGGCACGGGGGTGGGAAGTGACATTTGCTTGTTTCCTTGGGATTGGAGGGAGTTCTGCCTCTATTCGGTTGCAATTTTCTTACCATGTGGGGTCTGTTTTGTTATGCCTACCTTTCTGGGTGCCTAACCACCAGCTGATGGCAGATAAGGAAAACCCCTAACCACAGGAGGGGGGGTTCCAGGGTCATTGCTCCCTGTGCCTCTCTGAGGGGGTCAGGTTCTCGTGGGCCCCATTAGGGGACCTCGAGCAAGAATGCTTATGACTAATGCCCTGGTCTAATGAATTGCATATTAACCCAATAGTTCCAGGGAGCCAAAGGGGTTCCCCACAGGAAAGCAGCACAAACTGGATTCAGATTAAGCTCTGCATAAATCAGCCTGCTGTATAAATGCAGTAAAATCTTAATATACCAAAATAAATAAAAATAGAGGCAAGGATGATCCTGCCTAGCAGCTGAATATATTACAAGTACAAACTTAAGGCAATCCACAAAAATATAGCTTAAACATAGAACGTAATACTGAATACACACATACAACACGATGTATGCACAAACACAACATGATGAATGTACTCACATAGCATAAATATATATTCCTCCAAAAGTGAAGTCTTGAAGACTAAAAAACAAAAAACACAAAGAAACCAAACAATCCATTATGGTTATTTCTTCGATTCCTAAGAAATTACTTGTACTTGCTTGTGCCTTGTTAAGAGTAATTGTCATGAGTATTCTGTTGTTTACTGGATCATTAAATAACTTTGCATATGCACCACTGACATAACTAATGCACTAAATTACCACTAACTCCAATTATGTCACTTTTAATAGTCCACATGCATTCTTGTTTATAATATGAATGCACAACAATTTAATTTACTCTACATTAAAATTTCATAATACATTTGATTTTCCTCATTAAATGTTAAAGAACAAACTTTGCCAATTGAAGGCACAGTTAGGAGACAGCTCATCCCCATATTTTAATGATTATACAAAAATAATAGCAATTAATGTGCTCCATTACTACAAACAATTACAGTAAAGTGAAGCAGAATTCTTTAGAAAATGGTCTTTGATAACCATTCTGTACTAAACAAAAGTTTATACACTACAGGTAACCTACAAAATCTGGATTGTATTGTCTTTGATATGATCCAGATTTGCACTTAATCTGGATATCCAGTATTTAGCCCCTTCTGGGCTACTTATCAATATATTTAAAAAAAATTTTTTTATAGCAAGTGATACACTAAATGTTTATGCACATTTAGACAATATATAAATAATGATTAGTGTGCCACTTAATAATAATAATGCACAAAAAAATATAAAAATGGTTTGTTCACTGTTCAGCTGTACAGGTCTCTGGTCTTCTGTATCCAAGCATGAAGACCTCACTTTCAAAAGAACATAGCTACTTTGGTGAACAGAGACAAAATTCACCTCAGAACCAAGTCAACTCTCATCTCAGAAACAACTGAGGGCTTTACCCGTCATTTACCTGTCGATGATTCCAAGGATCAACATCTCCGCGACCCAGTCTTGGACCAGGTCTTCTGGTTGGTTTTCTGATCAACGAGGCTGTTTGTTTCAGCTGCAGGATTACTAACCAAACATGACAGGATTGATCTTATCGAGATCTTTAAAATACTTAAAAAATTTGAAGATATTAGTCCAGACCACTTCTTTAAAATATCAAAGTAATGCATACAAGGGGACAACAGCTTTAAGCTCAATAAGCCACAATGTAGGAGAGAAAACAGATGCTTTTTTACCCATTGGATAAAAATCCATGGAACTGTCTACCCCACCTAGGCCATAAATGCCAAGACATTACTTCAGTGTATAGTTTAGTATGAAAAAATCTTCAGGAATATTGGGGGAACCTTTGACAAGCCACCAGCTTCCTGTCCCCATCGAGGATACTAAAGATATAGCCGCTCAGGTAAATTTAGGTAACTTCTGCAATTACCCTGAACTTGCCTCAAAATCCTCAGTGTTCATGGCTAATGCCATTCTCTCAGCTACTGAGCTAATTGTTTACCCCAGCCTATAGTGCTGTAGTAAACCACTGGAAGCAGTAGCATCTAAATCCTCATGCTTACAAGGTTTCAATGTTTATATGCAACTTCTTTTTACCACCACTGCTCTTTATTTTATTCACAAACTACATGTTCTGCTTCCTATGCTTTTTTATGTCAGAAACAGAATTAGTACCAATGCTACGCTCCTTTGCCAGCAGCTTTACTCCCTAGCCATGATCTTGTAAAGTATTTCTAATAGTTAGGCCTTATTATCCATGAAAAGGAAGTTCCTCTCACCTTTGATGTACCCATATTACTCTTACAGCACAACATGGATTCAATAATGATATATTTGAATAAAAGTCAGTGAAAATGATTCAATGGCAAGAGGTTGGATCACACTTATACAAGAAAAACACAAACTTTTGAGCAACCTATAGTGCAATACAGGCAGGCCTCACTTAAGAACCAAGATGCGTTCTCCAGAAGGTGGTGATAATCAATAATTCTGTCAAGTAAAATAATTTTCCATTGACTAGTGGTACAAGCTGATAAAACATTCCAGACCAAAGCTACATATACAGAAAGGCTTGACAATGTCTTGCTAAATATAGGCTGTCAGGCTAGACACACACACACACACACACGTGTGTGTTTGTTACCTGTTGAGAGGCGGGACCAAAGAGCCAGAGCTCAACCCCCGCAAACACAACTAGGCGAGTACACACACACACATTGCTAAGCTAGATAAACAGGCTAGCCAGATACTTCAACATCCTGTTCAATTACCCTCTCCACTCAGCCTAAAATGGCTACAAAACCCATTACTTTCTTGAAAATATTGAAATGAAGAAATAAAGGCTTATACTGTACTGTGTACAGTGTATCCATTTGTAATTTATCACACAAGTACGCACCTCACACCCTCCTTCCATCACCAATCCTTCTCCACCTAGGATGAACAACATCCTGTTCCAATTGTGTGTGACTGAGTGGGTCATTGAGGATGTGAGAGCACCAACACACTCAACAAATTACAGTCATCCTGTAATTTGATGTAACACCACTGATGCATCAACTCACATGTAACACCCACACATTGACACCCATTTATGTAAATGGATTTTTTTTTAGTAAACCTTAGAGCAAATATTTGTAGAATAAGTATTTGTTAAATGAGGTTCACCTGTACAAGCTTAGTAAAATATTTCTAAAATATAATTGTATTATTTTGAATCCTATTACAAATAAAAAAATCAGCACTGAATGTAATGAAACGCCATTTTCTGGTTGGGCCCCGGAGGCTTCCTGGAGCTATCGGGCTAATATGTGATATTAGACTGGGGCATTAACTATGGAGTTCGACATACCAGGGACCACGAGCCAGAACCTGGTCCCTTCAGAGATATTTCATGTAGCAATGGCCCTGGAAACACCCCCCCCTGTGGTTGGGGGTTTTCCTAATCTGCCGTCGACAAGGGTTAGGCACCCAGAAAGGTAGGCATAACAAAACAAACCCCACATGGTAACAAACTAATAACGAAAACCAAACAGAGGCTGAACTCCCTTCAAACTCAAGAAAGAAGCAAAAGTTACACTCCACCTCCGCGCCGTTTATCCACACAGCCCTCCCCTCCCCGTGAAAAACCGCTGACCGGAGGAAGGGAAGGTTGTCAGGGAGTCGCCAGAGCTAACCCAGAAAATGGCATTTCATTACATTCAATGCTGGTTTTCTGTGAGGAGCCCCTGGAGCTTCATAACCAAAGAGAAGAAAAAGAGAAACTTGCCCGGGAGACGGCCATCACAAACTCCTCAACACAAAGTCGAGAAAACTGGCTGCAACCTGCTACCAAAGTAACACAGGGACGCCCAGAAGCAGGGACGTTAGCCAAATAACGGGCGGCCAGGACCCTGTTCGACTTCCAAAAACCCCGTGCCCGAATATCAGCCCAAGACATGTTGCCAAACACGGCAGCCAATGCAGCAAATTTCCTATCATCGTGGGCACGAGGATAGACCACAGGCTGGCTAGATTTAATAACCCTAAGGACAACCTGGGAGACCCGAGACCTGGAACAGGGAACAAGGGGAAACCGGGTCAACCCAAAGCGCATCCCCAACTACCGAAGCCGAAGCTCGCAGATAACTGCGAGCCACTGAGCCACTGTCAAATGACAATTCACCAGGAACCCAAACCTGGTGAGCTGGAAAAGAACCACACCCCTGGCAAGCAGACAAGCGGACCGACTGGGAGCCCACACCAGCCAGTCGTCGTGGTAGGTCAGGACCCAAACCCCAACAAGAACAGACGGGTCACCACGACCCAGGTAAGAAGTGTGAATACACCAGGTGCGAGATTCAAGCTAAAAGAAAGAAAATGGGAGTGGTAAGCCTGATGCCCTACCACGAAACCTAACCAGTCCCTGAACCCCGGATGAAAAGGAACGTGCCAAGACCCGTCCTTGAGGTTCAGGGACACCATCCACGAACCTGGCTCCAACTGAAGCCGGACCTGAGACAGTAGTCATCCGAAAGGAAGGGCAAGGAATCCAGGGGTTCAGAAAGTACAAATCCAGAACGAACCGCAGATCCGCATAGTCCCGTTTCGATACTGGAAACAAATGGGAAACCCACTTGAGGAACGCGGTTGTTTCGACCACACCCAAGCGCACCCACTCCAAGATGACCCAACGAAGCGCAGGGAAAGAAGCCTGCCCCGTGAGCCCCGAATCCCATGGAGGAGGAGGAGGAGCCGCCCAACACTGCCACTCACAACAATAACACAGCAGAGGTCCCTCACGAAGGCAAAACACCGCAAAGGAAATCGTGGCCACAAAGGGGTCAGCCCCCTGGACAACATTAGCTGACAAACTGGAAGTCGGAGTAGCCAGCATGGGGGTCTGAGGCTCACCCCCCCTCCCGTCTTGGGAAGGGGAGGGCTGCACGGACAAACGGTGCGGCAGTGGAGTGTGACATTTGCTTGTTTCCTTGGGATTGAAGGGAGTTCTGCCTCTCTGTTCGGTTTTCGTTGTTAGTTTCTTACCGTGTGGGGTGTAATTTGTTATGCCTACCTTTCTGGGTGCCTAACCCTAGTCAGTGACATAAGGAAAATCCCCCAACCACAGGGAGGTTTTCCAGAGCCATTGCTCCCTGAAACCTCTCTGAAAGGGCCAGGTTCTGGCTCGTAGTCCCTGGTAGGTTAAACTACATAGCTAATGCCCCAGTCTTATAATATCCCACATTAGCCTGATAGCTCGAGGGAGCCGTAAGGGTTCCCCCACAAAAAATACATGATTTGTCAAAAATAAGAAAACAAAATGCAATTTTATGGAAATTACTTTACATGATGAAGGAAACGACTCATTTGACTCATACCTGTACTGTACTTCATTGCAATGTCTCCGAAATGTTAAAAATCCTGGTTTCAGATGGAAAACCCAGTGGGCAAACATGATTCATTGTTTAGAAGGATATGTTACAGGAAGGTCCAGATTTGGGAGGGTGAACTGTATATAAAAAATCAGAAATTAAATTTAATCAAAACAAGAGTTTGAATGATTTATATTTCCTGGCCATGGTGAATTTCCAATTGCATGTCACTTCTTAGTTATAAACTCTATTTACAGCATTTTTCTGCAACAAAATGGTAATTGTTTTTGATGTTCAACTACAGTTTACATTGGGTCTTCCAACTTCTATTCTAATACAAAAAAATACAATAGAAAAAAGTACACCAGTCTAACAACAACATCAATGACACTACTGTATAGTAAAGTATTCAAGAAATAAAATTTTGCATTTCAGAAACCTGGCTAGTTGTAGTCTTAAAAACATTAATCCTATCTCATCATCTTTGCAGATAATATATTTGCACTATATTATAAGACTTCTTTCTTACAGAGTGGTCTGTCATTTGAAGGCTGGAAACATTTGCAATTGCAACATCCATACTAGTTAGATAGGTTTCCACATACCCTTACAAAATACATGAAAAAAATGTTTATAGAAACACATTTTTCACAATTTCTTGGGCATGTTTTGTCACACATTAGTATCCTATCCAAGAAAAGCAACAGGTCAATTGTCCACATCAATTAAATCTAGTGTGGATATAAGACAGAAAAAGACTTCAACATGAATCAGATGTGCAGCAAATGTCATATTATATATCAATAAATATCAATAAAGTAAAAAAAATTATTTAAATGTAAGAGGCATATACAGTATGAAAACCAGCGGCTACTTTAAATATTAGTCACACCACAATAGTTATGTTCATGTTGAGGCTGAAAAAAAACTTTCAGGTATTATCATAAACATTTTATCTTCCTCTTTGGACACAACTGTCTCAATCTTTTAATTCCCATTAAACATTTAATAAATTATTAGGACCACTTGAACCAAGAAGAAAGATAGCCTGGCTTATCTGGTGAGACAGGAGAACTGGATTTAGATCCCAGGGATGGTGATGAATTTTCTTTCTTTAGATTCTTTTTGCTTTTGCATCTGTAATGAGCTTCCCCTTCCTTTTCTTCCTCCTCGACCTCTTCCTTCAAGTTAACAGGTTTTGTCTCATCTATACCTGCAGTCTAATGAATTAAAACAATTGGAGAAGGATTCAGATATCAGACCAACAAGCCATTCTCAGAATTCTAGACTTACTAATGTAGATGTAATTTAAAAATGGATGAATAAATTGTATTCAATACTGTATAACATAGATACACATATAAATTTAAAATCAGATTTTAAAAGCAGAAGACAAAAATAAAATTTCTCACCTGTTGAGCAGAGCGAATTTTTTCATTAGTTTCCTTTTGCATTCCACACTCATAATCTCTGACGTCTTCTATGGTCATGCCATACCAGTCATCTATCCAAACAAAAGCCTGTCTGTGGCCTACAAGTAGAATGTTCCGAATGGCCTGAAATTGATATTAGGTTACAATACATCCACTGTTAAAGACACAATGATAACTATATAACAACATTAAGAAGTAGTTGAGGCACCAAGTTTTAGGGCCATTTATCATGAACTGACCAACATCTCTTAATGCAGCCAAAGGAATGATCTCACTATATAAACTTAGATGCTAAAGAAAATATATACAGTATTACTATACTGTGTCGTGGTAACCATTGAAATCCCATTGTAGGTTATCAAATATAATAAAACTGCATATTAATGAACAATTAATATGCAGTTTAGATATGACAGGAAAGATAACTCCTGTCATGCAGGGGCAGTATTCACAGGGCACTTAGGGAAGAAAGCACCAAAGCGCATGCAGCCCCGGTACTGATGAGGAACACCCGGCCACCGCACAACACAAGAACACAGCAGTGAGCGCCACGAAGGCAAACACCGCTTAGGAAACTGAGGCCAGAGAAGAGTCTGTCCCAGTTGACATTAGCTTACAAACTAAAGTGTTAGGCAGCCAGCGAGGTGAGGTCCTGGGCCCCCCCGGGGAGGGGAAGGCTGCGCGGATGAGCGGCGCGGCAGTAAAGTGTGATGTTTGCTTGTTTTCTTGGGATTCTAGGGAGTTTCTACCTCTCTGTTCGTTTTTTGGTTTTAGTTTCTTACCATGTGGGGTTTGTTTTGTTATGCCTACCTTTCTGGGTGCCTAACCCTGGTCGATGGCAGATAAGGGAAAACCCACAACCACAAGAGGGTTTTCCAGGGCCATTGCTCCCTGAAACCTCTCTGAAGGGGCCAGGTTCTGGTGCTGGTCCCTGGTAGGTCTGAACTCCATAGCTAATGTCCCAGTCTAATATTACATACATTAGCCTGATAAGCTCCAAGGAACCGTAGAGGCTCCCCTCAGAAAACCGCAAAATCGCATCCAGCAAGAGTGGTGCGAATAGCTTCAATAGCACAAACGACGCACGCACCTCCTAGGGTAACGCACCAGACCCAAGTGCCTCCACATCCACCTGAAGCCAGTTTGAGGACAGCTCGAGGAGGGAGAAGAAACGCTGGGCCGAAGCCAACAGGCCCTACATGAGCAAATCCTCCGCGACCAATGCAGCCAAAAGGGAAGGAACCTGCACATGAAGCTGCATCATACCAACATCCAGCGAAAAGGAAGGGGCGAACAAGCATGGAATGAGATGCTCAAACTCGCCCCCAAGGGAACCTGCAACGCTGTCTGAGCTTCTCGCCTCTCAAGCGTGGGGAAACAGAACGCATGCCATGACTCTAAAGATAATAGAGGTCAGTCTGCAGATTAGGGTGACTCTGGAACTTCTTAAAGAACCCAGTAATGACACAAAGATCCATACATGAAGGAACGCGGAACCATCACGAAAGCATAATCTGTGTCGCACAAGAGGTAAGCCTAGAGGTAAGTATTCCCCTCACCACATGGGACAGAAATTAGGAGGCCGAAAACCTCAGGAAGGATGGAACTAAAGAACCATTGGGGGTCACGGAACCGAACCCAGGGAGGGGTAGATGCCAATCCAATTCGTACGAGGAGGGAGCAAAAGAGAACCCCACTCCTCGTAACACCAAGCCCTGCCCCATAGGTACAAAAACCCAGGCAGGGACCAACGAGGCCCAAGGCCCCCAAGGCAACCTTTCCCCCACCCCGGAACCTCACCCTGAGGACCCGAGGCCAAGTCGGCCTCCAAACCCTCCTGCCTCTAAAGAAAAGGCAGGAGCTGCCGAACAAGCAGGAACGAAGGGAAGGGGGGCCCCACTGGTCAGACCCAGAAGTACCGGCAGGAGGACCAGGCTTGAATACCTTCGCCACCACCCAGGAAGGAAACACCCCAGAGACTGCCCGAGTCTCAACACCAACAAGAACCCTGCCCCGACACAGAAACCCTCAGAAGTTTCAAAGCCGGAAGCAAGGGGTAAGGAACAGGATGCACAACAGAAGGGGAAGGTCAAGGAGAGGAGGACAGAACCAAAGTCGAAGCGACTCTCTTTCCCCAAATCCGGGTCACGAAAATCATAACGGGGCAGCCTCGGGAAAGCAACCAACCTATCGCGTTGCACCAAAGTAAACCTAGCATGCAATGCAGCTGCTGCCTGCACTCTCATATCATGACCAGTAGCTTGGGTGAAATGAAGCACGTACAAACAACAAACGTCGCATGACTCCGGGTCAAAAGAATCACCGACCCTACAGGCAGCATGGTGGAGGCACAACCGCTAATTGTCACCCTGAGACAAGGAGGACAGAGCAACTATAAACCTCGCACAAAAAGTGAGGGGACTCAAGGGTTGCAGCCATTGGACCACGGAGCCCCCACAGGGTTTCCCAGGGCCCTTAGCCTTGGTAACACACTAAGGGAAGCCCAGGCAGGGTACTGCAAACCAGCGCTGAAGACTACCAAGCAAACTTCTAAAAGCTGAACCCCCGGGATGTGTCTACTCATGGGGTCCTGCAGAGGGCACAACCAAGAACACACATGGATATATACCTTAAGTATAGATCGGAGGCAACCAACCAAAGGCAGAACCCCTCACCAGGCAGAAAACAAAAATACAAGAAAAACCCCGCAAGAGTAAACGAGTATGACATCACATGTCACCACGCTGCCGTCTGTGTAGCTCCCACCTCCCTGGGAGGGGGAAGGGGGAGCCCCAGACCCCTGTGCCGGCCATCCATACCCCAGTTCTGAGGCTGGATATAAAAATACGCAAAAAAAAAAAAAAAATGCTGACCGGTGGGAGGGTGGGTTGCTGGGGAGCCTCCGGGTCTCACCCAGAAAATGGCATTTCATTACATTCAACGTTGGTTTTCTGGGGGGGGGGGAAACCCTGTCAGCTCCCCGGAGCTACCTATCCAAAGACAAAAACAAGAAGGACCTAACCTGGGAGGCGGAAGTCGCACACTCCCCAACACGAAGTGGAGACAAAAGACTGCAACTGCTAACCCAAGGCCACACAGGCCCCACAAGGCCCAGGAACAGCAACAAAGGATCGCATAGCCAACCTACGAATGATGTGGGCACAGGGAGACAGCAGGCTGGCAGGACCGAACCACCTTGCGGATGATGCGAGAGAACCGCACCCTGGAACAGGGAAGAAGGGAAACCAGAACAGCCCAACGCGTGACCCCGGTCACAGCACGCAAAGAACGGGGAAACGCCGCAACTGAACACAACACATGATGCACTCAAGCCAGACCAACCAAGCATCAACAACCCAAGGACCCCTCCGGAAAGCAGCCATGTCAGTCTTCGCCAGAAAACAAAGAGACGGCTGCAAGCGAACAAACCTATCAGGAGAACCAAGAGTCGAAACCCTGGTGCTGGAGGAGAGCATGAAGCACCCCAATCCGACCCCCAGAGGCCAACGCCAACAAGAAAAGAGCCTCGGAAAACAAGCCAGAACCGAAGGGGCCACAACAAACCGAGGAGAAAACAGAGCATCCAATCCAAGAACCAGTACGGCTCAAGCGGCACAAGAGCAGGCCAGAGACAGCTCATGAATTGTTGTAGAGGAAACACCAAAACCGATGCAACTGCCAGCAACACGCGAGACAAGGTGACGGCCCTGAACCTCCACAAGAGGACGACAAAATCACGCCAACAAAATGCAGCAAACCTAGTAAGGGACAAAAAGAAAAAGGACCGCCAATAAAACCCCATACCGCCGCCGAGACGAAGCATGCAGGTGGGACACCATCAACAAAGCCACCTGATCACCAACAGATGGTGAGAGACTTGAGGCAGAACTGAACCAGCCCCGCCATGGACCTATCGAACATAGAAAGAGGCGGAGCCACGGGGAAAACCTAGGGTGCGAACACCGAGCAAGCAGAGCCGGAAACCCAAGCCAGCAAGGAACCAGATGGAACGAGTGTAATACAGAAAACTTCCCAATGCTAGCGAGCTCCCCAGGAGATCGAAAACACTGTGGTTCCGACGCGAGACTCGTGAGAAGTGACAATGCGAGATCATGAAAATGCCAACTGGCAGGGCAAACCAGAAAATCAGGAACCCAAACCTGGCAAGCCGGGAAAGAACAAACCCGAGCAAGCAGAAACGCTTCGTCCGGATGAACCCCCCGGGACCCCTGAAGGACCAACAAGTCCGACAACGGATGACAACCAGAAGCCGCCAGCAGAAAAAATGCCGAAACACAGATGCCAAAAACAGCAAGGACAAAATTGCGATGAAAAACGAAAAGTCTGGGCCCAGGCTGAGGCCAACGAGGAAGCGAGCACCGTGAACCGAAACACAAAGCGAAAAGCAGGGACACCGTAACCCACAGGAGCAGTGAACGCGGCCCCAGCAGGGAAGAACGACACATGCAATACAGAGGAAGGAATGAGAACAAACCAGGACGTGAACCACACAAAAACAAAAATGCACCACCCAACCAAAAAAAAAAAAAAAAAAAAAAAAAAAAAAAAAAAAAAAAAAAAAAAAAAAAAAAAAAAAAAAAAAAAAAAAAAAAAAAAAAAAAAAAAAAAGCTGGAGCCAGGGCCTAAAACCTCTCACCTCCCAGCCCAACAAAGAGAAACTGCAGGGGAGGAAAAGAAGAATGGAAGTTACAATCACCTGCATACAGGGCAACCCAGAAACAAAGTGCCACACAAGGAGAAGATGAAAACTCAGGACCTGAGCCGAACACAGGGGAGGTGCAAAAGCAGGGAGCTGAGCATGGACAAAATCCAACCTAGCATGAGTAGAGCCAAGAAACACAAAATAAAACACACAACAATGTGTAGAAGAGAAGGAGAAAAACGGAAAAATGCAAGAAAAAGACTAGAAAAACACAAGAAAAAGACCAGAAAAAACAGGCCAAGCACTAGCAGCTAGGGGCAAGAGTGTAGAAGGAATATAAGGAACAAAGAAGACAGGCAGAAAGCGGGAACGAAGAGAGACATGACCTTCTACACATGACATGACTTACTGAAGTGCCTGGCTCAGCCAAGCACTGCACAACAGGCAAGGAATGAGTGTCCAAGATAAGACCATGAACGACGGGACCACGCCCCACCATGTAACAAATAACAGACAAACAAGGAAGGCCACAGGAAGAAGCACGCAATGGGCCAAACAAAATGCCACAACCAATCCTCAGCACAACCAAAACCCATGAACCAGCACCCGGCCGAAAGAGACGCCCGACCACATAAACTCACCTGCAGAACGTAGACACTTCTTGAGGTTGTCTTGAGGTTATCTTGAGATGATTTCGGGGCTTTAGTGTCCCCGCAGCCCGGTCTTCGACCAGGCCTCCACCCCCCAGGAAGCAGCCCATGACAGCTAACACCAAGGTACCTATTTTACTGCTAGGTAACAGGGGCATAGGGTGAAAGAAACTTTGCCCATTGTTTCTTGCCGGCGCCTGGGATCGAACCCGGTACCACAGGATCACAAGTCCAGCGTGCTGTCTCCTCGGCCGACGGCTCCCTCACTAACGTGTCTCGACACATCGTAGCCGAGAATATTCCAGGAGCACCACTAGTGAAATATGGATGTATGCTGAGAAAAACTAGATGTCTTCCTCATATCGGTAATCCAGATCACCCCCAGTATCTACGGGGGCCCAAACAGAAGAGAGAAGAGGGGCGAGAGGCGAAGCACGAGAGAAAAGGACGTGGAACACCACACATGTACACCGTCCATAATAAAACAAACTCCCACTGTGCATGCGCAGGACGCATGAGGTCCGAACCAGACGACCAACCCAGCAGGGAGGGCGCCAACAAGGAGGATTTAAGGAATATTAGCAGTGACGAGACAGAGCGTGGAGAGATAAGCATAAGTACAAAAGAACGAGACAATACCGAAAACTAAGAAGCACAGAAGAGGACCAACAAATCCTAGAAAGGACTGGAGGTAAGCCTCACCAGAAGATGACAGAGGTTCCAATAATATGGAAAGAATCGAAGACCTTCCAGAACCTTCGAGATCCTACAGAAGCAAGCACAAAATCACGAAGGCTCATAAAGGCACAGTCGCACCCGAGACCAAAGCTCATGCAGAACCCCGATATGAGGGGGAACACGACCCCGAAATAACAAAGAAGTCCTGTCCCAGAGAAGAAGGGTGAGAAAACAGAGAAGAGTACCGATCAATAGGACGGAACCGTCAGACCCGAAGGGACAAGGAACCGAACCCGGGGAGGGGCCGAAAGGAAAAAAACCACTTCCCGTAACTGCAAGCCCCGCTCAGAGGGTAGAAAAACCCTAGCAGGGTCAAAATGGGGCCCAAAGCCCTCCAAGTCAGCCTCTCCCCAGCCCCAGGAACCTCCATGGCAGGCCCAGGGCAGAGCCGTCCCCCCAATGCCCCAGCCTCACAAGAAAAAGCTGGGGCAGCCGAATAAATACTAAGGAAGAGAGCCCACTGGCAAACTCATACAACACAGCTGGAGGAACAGGCTTGAATGCCTCCGTTGCTACCCCAGACAGGAAATCCCCGAGACCGCCCCAAGTCTCACGACCATCGAATCCCCGCCCCTTCCCCAAACCCACAGATGATGAGGATCCGGATGCAGGGAGGATGGGGGGGGGGGGGAACCAGACTAGACCACAACAGGGGAAAGATAAGGGGGCGCGGACAGAAACAAAACCGAAGCGACCAACACCACCAAGCCCAAAATGGGCTTGGGGGTGTTGGTCACAACAACCAAAATGGGGCAGCCTCGGGGCTCCTGGGAAGCAAAGAACCTAGCACTTTGCAACCACCTGATCCCAATGTGCAATGCCCGTGCTGCCTGCACCCGCATAGTCAGCATAAGACTGGGTAACTGAGTCACAAACAAGCAACAAAAATTTGCAGGACTCCGGGTTGACAGTGCCACTGACCCAACAGGCAGCAGACAGAGGCAAAAACAGTGAGAGCCACCCTGAAACAAGGTGACAGAGCAACCCTGGAACTCGCACAAAGCGAAGGGGGGACTCAGGGGTCACATCCATCGGACCAACGCGCCCCCGTAGGGATTCCCAGAGTCCTGAGACGGAACTCATGCTCAGGGAAGCCCAGGCAGGGTACTGCTAACCGGCGCCCTAGTCTACCAAATATCTTTCTAAAAACTGAACCCCCGGGACATGTACACTCACGGGGACCAAGCCGGGGGTACCACTGGAAGAGAAAAGAGTACCTGATACACAAGAGGCAACAACCAAGGCAGATCCCCCCCCCTCCCCACCAGGCAGGCAAACAAAAAGAAATAGAAAACCCCGCAAGAGCACAGCGTACCCAGGTGGAACAAAGCCAGCCGCTATGATTTGTGAAAACAAGCTGCACAGTACCCTGCGTCCCTTACCAGTGCAAACTGCCCCCTACCCTAAAGTGAACAAGGAAGACAGAACACCCTAGCACACAAAGGGCAGCCAAAAACCAAGCAGTAAACAGCCTAGCAGAGGCAGAACCCAAGGAACTTGTGGAAGGTGGCCCCAAGCCCTAAGGGCAGTACTTACTGAGCACCTAGGGAAGAGAGTCTTAGGCGCATGCTACCCGAGTACCAAAGAATAACTCCCAGCTCGCGCACAACCTAGAAGACAGTCACCACACACAAGGCACAGTGCTGAAACAACAACTGGAGCCAGAGCACACGACTTCTGCCTATAGCATCAGCCTCAGAACTGGGGTGTGGATGGCCGGCACAGGGGTCTAGGGCTCCCCCTTTACCCTCCCGGAGAGGGGGGGGGGGAGCTGTGCAGATGGCGGCGCAGCAACGTGTGACGTCATACACGTTTGCTCGTTTCTGTTTGGGGAGTTCTATCCACTTGTTCAGCTTTTTGTAGCAATTTTCACCAGAATAGGGGTTTAGTGGTGTATTAGTTGTGGTGTGGTAGTAGTGGTGTACTAGTTGAACAGTTTTGCGACGCCTACCTTTCTGGGTGCCTAACCCAGTCGATGGCAGACTGGGTTAGGCAGTCAGATCCTTCCAACCACATTGGGGTTTCTATAGTCTATTGCTCCTCGTGCCTCTGTGAGGGGGCCAAGTTCTGGCTCGTGGTCCCCGGTAGGCCCACAGAACTCCATACACATGACTGATGCCAAAGTCTGACATTAGCACATCAGCCTGGATAGCTCCAGAGCCGACAGGACTTTCCCCAGAAATAAGAAGTGTTACTGGTGTGCACCTAAAGTGCTAGGTTAACTGGAACCTCATGGTTGAAATTCATGTGCTGAGCACTGGTTATTAAAACAATGTGAAGGTAAAAGTGTAATCACAATTTAGTATAAATGCCTGTACAGTACATCACATTAATTGGACTAAAACAAATAAAAATTAAAAATCTAAAAATCATCCACTTACTCTGTGTGCAAAATCTTCAATTCTTGTTTGAAGCCCAAACACTTGAAATGAAACATCAACAAGTTTGTAAGAACACATGATGATGTCTGACCTTTCACGCCATCCATCTTTTAAAGGGCCACGGCCTGTTTTCATGGATTTGAAAGCAGAAGGATCCTGAAAATAACAAATATTATAATGCTGTTAGGCTATGGCTTTCATTATAAATGTATATTATTGGGACAATATTAGTGACATGTTTAAGTTCAGTTGGCCCGTATTGTGCAAATTTGGAAAATTAAAATCTGTACCCCTGTGCAAATGTGCTTAAAGGGGGCGTCAATTCCAAATTTGCTCAAAATATGCAATAAATGAAAACTCGTTCGAGTTCAATCAAACTTTTTTGACAAATTGTATATGAAAAGGGTTTCGTCTGGTCCAAGTCTCAGCATTGGACACTGAGCTAGTATGGTGAATGAAGACAGTAACATGTACCCACACAGAATCAGCAGATGCTATCTCCCTCCCACCATAAAGCACAGCACTAATTATCACAACAATTCTGCTATTAGCAGAAACCTGGTCATTTTTATCACAGTCAGGGGTCTTCTGTAATACTATCGTCGCTAAATAATACCAGTTACATATATTTTTTATATTTTTAGGAGATGCTGTGATCACAAACTGAACAGCAACGCTGTTAGTTCATGCTGCGAGCGCCAGCCTTGATTGCTCATTCAGTACTGATGCTCTTACACCTGGGAATGTTGCCAGAATTCACACCAGGAATTATACCTGAAATTTGCCCATGATTTTGTTTAAAAATGGCGTCTGTTTACAAGAGCCCTGAAGAAGCTGATGTGAAACCCGTGTAGCTGCGGGACTTTTAAAATCGTGAACGAGACCGCTCAATCATACATATATGTAGTGCGCCGTTTGGTGAAAATTCTTCCCTACATACATGTATGATTTGCACAGTTTAAGGGTTAAACTTATTGTATTTAAGGGTTAAACTTATTGTATCACAGTCACAACTGACTGGTTGTGACTGTGAAAACCTGATTGACTGTGAATGGCTGATTGACTGTGAATGCGTGACTGACAGTAAATGCATGACTCGACCGTAAATGTGTGACTGACCATAAATGCTTAGCCGGTTGCTACCACAACGTGACTGCATGACTGCCTTTGGTTATGACTGCCTGTGACTAGTCTTGACTGAATACTTGACTGACATATTGTGACTAGCTAACCGGTTCTAAGTGGCTGCCACATAACAGAGGCATTGAAATGTGTGAAAGGAAAATCTGGAACCAGTGATGCAGATATGAAAGCATTTAAGGCAAGCAGGGGATGGTCTCACCTCCTCTTCACCCTCCCCACACACCAATACCGCTTCTCCCTTCGTCCTCACCGTCTTCCATACGGCACCAAGAGTCCTCAGTAAAGGTAAAGTACTGTACAGTTAAATACTATATTCCCTTATTTTATTATGGCTTATATTTATACCTGATTGCTTTGTGAATGAAAAATACAAATAGTATTCTGTATAAAATGTATTTTAAAATTAATATTTTTAGGTGTGTGGAACGGATTAATTTAATTTAGATAATTTCTTATGGGAAAATTCGTTTTGGGTTGCAAACTTTTGGTTTACGAGCCGTCTCTGGGAACGGATTAAATTCGAAAACCAAGGTACCATTGAATAATGATAGGTTTGCCTGTAAACAAATTGACAAGAAAATCAAACCACATTAGCTGTTTTGATATGCGATTTCAAAATACAGTGGTACCTCGAATAACGAATTTAATCCGTTCCGTGTTCGTCATGTGAAACGGACGTCATACAAAACAAATGTCCCCATTTACCCACTGTGATGCACTGTGTTTATTGTGAAATTCCTCCAGTGTGCATGACATCAAGTTTTCCCAAAAAATCATTTTTCTTTGTAAAATGATAATTTACCTTCCCTGAACATGTGTATGTAAAAATAATTACCAAATTCCACTTACTTTGGCTGCGAGGACGTGGACAAGGTGCGCTGTGAAGTCATCAGGGGTTGGTCGCCCGTGTGTGAAGCTCCCAGACATGGTCACACAGGCCATTCATGCACCGCGTGTTGCCACAAATATATTTTCAAATAATTGTTCTATGTATTTCCAATGCAGTTTTATTGGTTTCTTTTATCATATATGATGCATATTGGTGACCTTTACAATATGTGCACAGTAGAATGTTCATAATGTTCCATGGAACTGTGATACATGTGTCAGTATTGTGTCCACAATAAATGTTTATTGTCACAATATTACGTGGTAAAAATTCACTAAAATTACAATATGTACAGTTTCACATACTATTTACACAGTAACACACTGTATTACACACTCAGTACTTTGGAGGTACGTAATGATCAACGAAGTAGTCCATGGTACACAGCACGGCTTTGCTCTCGTTACACCAGCTACAGATAGATTTTCGCTTCCTGTTTCATCGTTCTGTGTGCTTGCAAATAACGCACTCGCGTGCACCCTTGGCTTTAGTACTTGTAGGTGGTATGTAGCAAAGCTTGTAAAGCATAAGGTAGTATTGAAACAATTATAGGAAAAGCTCAAATTGTAAGGTAGTCTTGAAAAGATCGCTTTGTAAGGTCCCACACAGGAAGAGATTCAGCTAGCCTCAAAGAGTGTCCGTCAATCAGGAAGAGATTCAGGTATTCTTGAAAATATCTATGGAAAACACCACCATGGAAGCCACTAACACTGTTCATCTATGCTACTTGTATCAGATGCATCATCACTGAACGCAGAAAACGATTCATCTATGTATCATCTATATAAATTGGAGATGGCAAGGGTGGGGCTCAGAGCTGCAACTGGATACTCTCGTTGTATCTGCTTGATACCCGCTTGATGGGGTTCTGGGAGTAGTTCTACTCTCCAAGCCCGGCTCGAGGCCAGGGTTGACTTGTAAGAGTTTGGTCCACCAGGCTGTTGCTTGGAGAGGACGACAATACAGTGTCGTCCTCATAGGTGCTGTATCACTTGCATCCAACCGGTGTGTTAAGTCCTTATTGGGCCTAGCTTCACCAATATTATGACCCTTATGTTCTTCAAACAATAAGGTCTGAATTTCACCGACTGAGCGCAATCTTTTAACACTATGTCGAACAGGTGTTTGGGAGCCAGAGGCACGTGTGCCACAAATGGTTGCTCAAACAGTACTAACCCAGCCAGCAGCCCTTGTCTTTCATATTTGTTATAGCAAAAAGGTTCGTTCAGTGTTTGTCAGGTAGGCTGCTCCATTATGACAATCTTTCTTTGTTTCAAATGTGTTCCATTTGTTTTGTATTTGTCACTTATGTCTCAATAATGGAGCAGCCTACCCGGCAAACACTGAATGAACCTTTATGGCATTTGTCCATTTTTCAAATTGTTGGAACAGTTTTTTATTTTTCGTTTCTTTTAGTTAAGAAACATGGAGCGGCCTACCTGTAGACCACCGAACGAACCTGTTTGACATTTGATCTGGTTTTCAAAATTCATTTTTTTTATTTACATTTTTTTTTTGTAAGAAACATGGAGCAGCCTACCTGCTAACCACCGAATGAACCTTTTGCTATAAGACAAATGAAAAATAAATATTTAATACATTTGAAGAAAGGAAAATGTCATAATGGTTTGTTCAGTGTATGAAAGGTAGGCTGCTCCATTATTGAGAGACAAATGACAAATACAAAAATGGAACACATTTGAAACAAAAAGATTGTTATAATGGAGTAGCCTACCTGCTGAACACCGAACGAACCTTTTTGACATTTGTTGTACAGGTATTTCAGAAATTTCATTTCTTTTTTTTTTACAAAAACGTCAATGCTTTGCAACATCTCAGCAGTCACCCCTTTATATCCCAGCATCATTAGCATCATTAAACAAGAACATAATTTATGTGCATCGTCGGAGGCGTCTGAGAATGTTGTACAAGAAGCAGCGCGATCCCACCATGTGGTGTTGACATTACTCAAATGAGCGTTCGCAATACGGGACGATTTGACGCCGATCGGGCCGTTCGTTACCCAAAATGTTCGCCTTTTGGGGCGATCGTTATGCGAGGTACCACTGTACTATGATCAGACATTATGACGCCTCAATTATGTAACATTTTGAACACATTTTGCATCATACCACATAACAAACATTCTGTTGTTCATCATTTATAGCATTTGTGTTTGGAATGTGGTGGGAAGGCCAACTGTGTGTGGGTGTGTCGTCATCAAATGAAGGAAAAATTATTCAAGCCATTATATTACAGTACTGCACAAATGTAATGGTGTATGCACATGAGGAGAATCCTCAGTGATAAAGACTACAAGAGAAGTACCAGCAAATATCTACAAAATATGCAAATTACAGGAAATTCTAAATAATCTTTATTTAGTTTAACAGTAAGAGGTTCTGGTACAACAAAGAAGAAATCACATTAAATAAATATGAAAAATTTACTATAATTTTTACAGAAAACAGTTACTGTGTATACAGTATATATATACCATTACAGTATTATAGGAAAAGCACATACAAAACTTAATTTGCTAAATATTTTATACAATTAGTAAATAGCTACACACCTCTTCTTTTTTGTAGTGCCTCTCATCAACTGGATCAGTTAGGATGTCCACATGATCAACTGTTCGCTGCTTTAACTCATCTTCGTTTATATTCAAACACTGAAAAAATTTGATAAAATGTTGTTAATGACCACCCAAAAAACCAGCATTGAATGTAATGAAACGCCATTTTCTGGGTGAGACCTGGAGGCTCCCCAGAGCTTACTAGGCTGATAGTGTAATTACCTAAGTGTAATTACCTAAGTGTAGTTACAGGATGAGAGCTACGCTCGTGGTGTCCCGTCTTCCCAGCACTCTTTGTCATATAACGCTTTGAAACTACTGACGGTCTTGGCCTCCACCACCTTCTCACTTAACTTGTTCCAACCGTCTACCACTCTATTTGCGAAGGTGAATTTTCTTATATTTCTTCGGCATCTGTGTTTAGCTAGTTTAAATCTATGACCTCTTGTTCTTGAAATTCCAGGTCTCAGGAAGTCTTCCCTGTCGATTTTATCAATTCCTGTAACTATTTTGTATGTAGTGATCATATCACCTCTTTTTCTTCTGTCTTCTAGTTTTGGCATATTTAATGCTTCTAACCTCTCCTCGTAGCTCTTGCCCTTCAGTTCTGGGAGCCACTTAGTAGCATGTCTTTGCACCTTTTCCAGTTTGTTGATGTGCTTCTTAAGATATGGGCACCACACAACAGCTGCATATTCTAGCTTTGGCCTAACAAAAGTCATGAACAATTTCTTTAGTATATCGCCATCCATGTATTTAAATGCAATTCTGAAGTTAGAAAGCATAGCATAGGCTCCTTGCACAATATTCTTTATGTGGTCCTCAGGTGATAGTTTTCTATCTAGAACCACTCCTAGATCTCTTTCTTTATCAGAATTCTTTAAAGATTTCTCACATAATATATAGGTTGTGTGGGGTCTATGTTCTCCTATTCCACATTCCATAACATGACATTTATTAACATTAAATTCCATTTGCCAAGTGGTGCTCCATATACTTATTTTGTCCAGGTCTTCTTGAAGGGCATGACAGTCATCTAAATTTCTTATCCTTCCTATTATCTTAGCATCATCAGCAAACATGTTCATATAATTCTGTATACCAACTGGTAGATCATTTATGTACACAATAAACATCACTGGTGCAAGAACTGAACCCTGTGGTACTCCACTTGTGACATTTCTCCATTCTGATACATTGCCTCTGATTACTGCCCTCATTTTTCTATCAGTCAGAAAATTTTTCATCCATGATAGAAGCTTACCTGTCACCCCTCCAATATTTTCCAGTTTCCAGAACAACCTCTTATGTGGAACTCTGTCGAAAGCCTTTTTTAGGTCCAGATAGATGCAGTCAACCCAACCATCTCTTTCCTGTAATATCTCTGTGGCTCGATCATAGAAACTGAGTAAATTCGATACACAGGATCTTCCAGATCGAAAACCATACTGTCTGTCTGATATTATATCATTTCTCTCTAGGTGTTCTACCCATTTAGTTTTGATTAGTTTTTCCAATACTTTCACTATTACACTTGTCAATGATACAGGTCTATAATTGAGGGGGTCTTCCCTGCTGCCACTTTTGTAGATTGGAACTATGTTAGCCTGTTTCCACCCGTCTGCTACGATTCCTGTACACAGGGATGCCTGAAAGATCAGGTGAAGTGGAATGCTGAGCTCAGATGCACATTCTCTCAGAACCCATGGTGAAACGCCATCTGGGCCAGCTGCTTTGTTCTTACCGAGCTCCTTGAGCATTTTTTCCACTTCGTCTCTAGACACCTCTATGTGTTCTATGTTGTTCTCTGGAATTCTTATTGTATCTGGTTCCCTAAAGATTTCATTTTGTACAAACACACTTTGGAACTTTTCGTTTAGTGTTTCACACATTTCCTTTTCATCTTCCGTGAATCTATTTCCCATTTTCAACCTCTGAATATTATCCTTTACCTGCAATTTGTTGTTTATGAATTTATAGAATAGACCTGGTTCTGTTTTACATTTGTCCGCAATCCCTTTTTCAAAATTTCTTTCTGCCTCTCTCCTCACTGCCGTGTAGTTGTTTCTCGCATCTTTGTATCGCTGGTATGTTTGGGGGTTCGGCCTCTTCCTGTATTGATTCCATTTTTGTGTCTTTCGGTCTCTAGCCCTCTCGCAATTTCTATTGAACCAATCCTGTTTCCTAGTTCTGCATCTCTGTTTTGGTATAAATTTTTTTGTGCCTTTATCATATATTTCACAAAACTTGCCATACATCTCATTCACTTCCTTGCCTAGCATCAAGTCTGTCCAATTATACTCACTAAAAAAATTTCTAAGGTCACCATAATGTCCTCTCCTGAAGTCTGGTTTTTCAACTGCTTCAACCTCCTTATTTTCTTCCAGCTTATAACGCATTGCATACTTTATTCCCAAAAAGACATGGTCACTTTTACCCAAGGGAGGAAGGTACTGAATGTCAAATATCTCTTCCTCCTTCCTGGTAAATATCAAATCTAGCATGGAGGGAACGTCCCCTTCCCTCATCCTCGTAGCTTGTTTAACATGTTGATACAAGAATGTTTCCAGGATGAGGTCTACAAATTTACAGGTCCAAAAATCTTCTGTTTTAGCTTCATATGCTTCCCAGTCTATGGATTTCAAGTTGAAGTCACCGACTATCAACAGTCGTGATCTATCGTTATCCGCTCTCGCTATAATCTCTCTCATTATTGTTATAAGACCTTCACGTTTACTATCTAGCTCCTCCTTTGACCATGTGCTGCTTGGCGGTGGACTATATGCATTTATCATCATTAGTTTATCATCCTCATAGCAGATCTCTAGTGCTATTATGTCAACTTCTTGTGGATTGGCAGTCATTATTTCCTTCACCTTTAGGTGTTCTTTTACCAGCACAGCAACGCCACCGCCTTTCCTAATTTTTCTGTCCCGTCTCCAAATTGAGTAGCCCCTTGGGAATATGACCTCATTTAAAATTACATCTTCAAGTTTTGTCTCCGTGAGTGCAACAATGTCTGGTGTCTGCAGCTGTATTACATCACTTAACTCCAGTATCTTCGATCTCACTCCATCTATGTTGGTGTATGCAATCTTCAGGAACTTGTTCCCCCTCTCCTTATTCTTCACTCCCCCTCTCTCTATTGATTTTGTTGGTTTGCCTTTATGTACCACTTTACTGGTTTGCCTACCCCTATCACTTTGTAGAAAAAAGAATTTATTTCTTCTTCATTCCTGCTCTCATTTAAATGTTTTGCCTCGGCGAGGTTCAGTTTCAGCTTCTCTCTATCTTCTTTTGAAAGATCTCGTCTTAACGACCACCCTTTCCCATCCTCATCCCTTTGCAATTTTCTAGCATTCCTTAGTACTTCTTCCATCTGTTTGGCACCGTTTAGGGTGATCCTCAAAGGTCGATCTTTCCCTTTTACGTACCTGCCTATTCTCCTGTAGTCGCACACATTCTCTCTGTTTGTAAGACCTTCCACGAGGCCAACAATTTTATCTACTACTTTAGCTTCTTCTACAGCTCTTTCTGACCTAGATGTTATCGCCTTTTCTTTGCAGCCAAAAATGATCAGGGACTTACTCCGATCAACTGTGTTTTGCACCAACTTCGGGTTAGATGCCAATTCTTTCCTCACTTCTAGCCTAATGTTTGTTTTATCTTGGTTGCTGCAGTGTTTGACTTCCTTTACTGCTTCTTCTATTTTTTCCTTCTCCTTGGCCACTTGTGCATAAGTGAGTTGCATATCTTTCTTGCACTGTTCTCATTTATGTTTAAATTTACTTTAACTTCTTCCAAAGTGTGTGTGTGTGTGTGTGTGTGTGTGTGTGTGTGTGTGTGTGTGTGTGTGTAAACACTAGGGCAACTTTTTCTCATCCGATTTTTCACTTCCCTTAGCACTTTCCTGTTATCTCACCTATTTTTCAAGAGCACTATACCTTTATGTTCTCTGGGACACCAATCACTACCATCAACCTGTACTACAATACTTAGGATTGTTGAAATATGCTGGAGAGCCCTCTGCTGCAAGTGTTGACCCTAGGGGTGTCACCTTTTTCATGTGTGTGTGTGTGTGTGTGTGTGTGTGGTGTGTGTGTGTGTGTGTGTGTGTGTGTGTGTGTGGTGTGTGTGTGTGTGTGTGTGTGTGTGTGTGGTGTGTGTGTTGTGTGTGTGTGTGTGTGTGTGTGTGGTGTGTTCCCTGTGTAACTTCCTCCATCTGTGCTGACAAAAGCTGTTTCTCCTGTTGAATTTCCTTGCCTAATTTCCTTGCCTTGTGTGTGTGTGTGTGTAATTACCTAAGTGTAATTACCTAAGTGTAGTTACAGGATGAGAGCTACGCTCGTGGTGTCCCGTCTTCCCAGCACTCTTTGTCATATAACGCTTTGAAACTACTGACGGTCTTGGCCTCCACCACCTTCTCACTTAACTTGTTCCAACCGTCTACCACTCTATTTGCGAAGGTGAATTTTCTTATATTTCTTCGGCATCTGTGTTTAGCTAGTTTAAATCTATGACCTCTTGTTCTTGAAGTTCCAGGTCTCAGGAAGTCTTCCCTGTCGATTTTGTCAATTCCTGTTACTATTTTGTATGTAGTGATCATATCACCTCTTTTTCTTCTGTCTTCTAGTTTTGGCATATTTAATGCTTCTAACCTCTCCTCGTAGCTCTTGCCCTTCAGTTCTGGGAGCCACTTAGTAGCATGTCTTTGCACCTTTTCCAGTTTGTTGATGTGCTTCTTAAGATATGGGCACCACACAACAGCTGCATATTCTAGCTTTGGCCTAACAAAAGTCATGAACAATTTCTTTAGTATATCGCCATCCATGTATTTAAATGCAATTCTGAAGTTAGAAAGCATAGCATAGGCTCCTTGCACAATATTCTTTATGTGGTCCTCAGGTGATAGTTTTCTATCTAGAACCACTCCTAGATCTCTTTCTTTATCAGAATTCTTTAAAGATTTCTCACATAATATATAGGTTGTGTGGGGTCTATGTTCTCCTATTCCACATTCCATAACATGACATTTATTAACATTAAATTCCATTTGCCAAGTGGTGCTCCATATACTTATTTTGTCCAGGTCTTTT